TTTTTTTCTTATTGAATTCATTTCATTTTCTATAGTTCACTTTTTGTAGTTTCCCATTTCCACGTCGCCATCAAAATTTATTGTTTTCTACGTGAGAACTTGAGCAAATAGAAATGAGCACATTCAGTATTTATTACTAAAAAAACAAGAAAAAAATTAAGGAAAAGTGTCCATTTACCGACTAATACATTATTTTCATTGAATAACGGATTTTTCGAGATTGTTCGAAATGAACATGTTGCGACACGTACATTTATTGCAGCCGGAATAACGGTGCTTTTTTTCCTTTTTTTCCTACGTAAATTTCTACAAAAAAATATCTTTTCTAGCAGCTCTTCCTAGACAAAAAAAGACCCCCTCTCCCCTTCCCCCTCAAAAATACATTCCAAAGGATCATCGACAAAGCATTCCCCCTTCCCCGTGCCTACCAGTTACCCCCTCTCCTTTATCCCCGCGTCCCCGAGTTACCCCGCACACCCGCACGGACCCCGCTCGGAGCTCCTGGGTTAGAACCGGCCTAGTATCACTACTGAGTGGTTAACTGTCAGATGTTAGAAGCCTTCATTGTTTACACAATTGTATGACTTCCAACAATCTGACACGATGGTAGTTCCTACCCTCTTTAATATATGCGAGAAGTGTTTCCTTCGTCCGATTTTTTACTGGAACGACAAAAATCTTCTTAGATTCTCGCTCATATCTTCCGAATATCCAACTGCACTTAATGAGACACTCACGATTATATTTTTATCGGCCAATTTTTGTCTCATCGATCTCTACAGTATATCCTGGGTCATCAAGTTTTTCACTGTTTTTAGCCCAGAATACACAGACCTATAAATAAAAATAACATTAATATTTTGTTATACATATTACTATGTATATCATATATATTATATTAAAATATAATTACCTCTCAGCAAAAATTAAACCAGGGAATAAGGGTGGGCGCCGATATACCAGTTTCATCTTATGTGTTATCTTGATGTCGTAACATTAAAAAACATGCTACATGCAATTTTACAAATTGTACCCACGTCAAGATGATTTTATCAAACCACGAGTCTGCTTTGGCACTTTTCTTGAAGTCGCATTGCTTAAGAACACGCTTTTTATGTTTGTTTTTAACAATATAACATTTTCTGCACCGGTACATTAATGTTTTTTTATTAATATTACATCATTATCACACTTATTACATTGAATTGTATTTATTAAAATACCGTATTTAATTAAAAAAAATCGACGAGTGCTTTATTATCATAAGTTAAGAATCGGCAGGAGTGATGGACTAACTCCGACTTGATCTAAAATGATTATCTACTCCTTATTTACAGTGCAGATATGTATCTGTACTCAATTATATTTTTATAAAAACGATGTTTCATCATGAAACTTTGATAAGATAATTTCTTTTACAATTACAAAGCTACCTACAGAGCCAATTTTGCAATTTAACTTTTAAATAATTGAAATAAATGTGACTATTCCTTATTTAGTGTAGATATATATTTGAGTACATCCATATATCATCTCGTAGAAACAATATTTTGTCATGAGTCTTTTTCTACGTATTTTTTATAAAATTATGACTTGCTACAGAGCCGGATGCAATTTGGCTCTTAAAAAAAATTTACAATAGAAGAAAATATTTGCACCTTATTGTTCTATAGTGCAAATCTATTTACGCATAAATGAATTATTTATTTTCACATTTTCTTATAAAAATCGCTCTGTAGCTTTCAGGCAAATATTCTGATTATATCATAATTATATAGCTTTTCTCGCAATATTTTGGCTGTAATATGGATGAAAAGAAATTCATTTCCGATAGAGTCTCCATAGTCTCTCCTGCCGACTCTTAAATGCTCAAATTCTATTAGACTTAGCGGCATCGTGCTTACTATGTGACTTCTATAATTACGAGTTTCATTTGTTGCATATTCGTTATTGTTGCTGCGTAAAGCGCGATATATCATAAATTATCAAATCTTTGCCTTACTGAATATATGAGTTTACAATATACTAAAAATAGATACCGAAAAGATTAACGAGACCTACGCAAGGTAGAACATATCACGGATAATTACTTATTATGTTATATATTTATTTCATGTTTCGTATGTATTTTCATAATTTCATATTTCGTACCCATTTTGATCGCATGTTGCCACGGAGCATGCGCACGTGTATGACACACTACATCGCTACTGTGTTGATGTCAGTCGATATAACAGGTTTCCTAACCTTATAATAACGCAAACTTTAACGACTAATATCTCGGTTCACGGGGCAAAGCGACACTTTTTTTGCCAGATTCTTTTGTTTCATGCAAAAACGCGTCGAAGCCTAATTTTATCGAAATCGGATGACAGGCCCCTTAACTTAACATTTACCATTTTTAATTTCATATGCGTTCAATGTATGCATTAATCCAGTATACTGCGGATGATTGAATTCACTTATGTTACATATGATGAATCTCTTTGGTTTTTGCCGGCTAACCCGCGTTTCAATAAATTCCATAATACCGATTCAATATACGATACAAACGAAAAATTATGCAGGTAAGAAAATAGAGAATGTCATTGCAATATTTACGTGACGTAGCATGTTTCATCAATACTGAAAACGGCGGTCGTTTATCATTTCAAGATTATGCGTTTATCACTTCATAGGTTATGCGTATTTGATATTCAAATAGTCGTGTTTTATTTGTAATTTAGATATGTATTAGGAAATGAAAAATTTCTCGCTATATTATTAGCTATTGACGTACGAAATAAATATGTGACCCAAAATTCCGATTTGCTATCAAAAACTTTCTAACAAAGTGATAACGATTATTAACAAGAATGAAAACTTGATGAGAATTTATCGCATAATTGATGATTGTAATTTATGATTGTGGTTATAGCTGTGTGTGTGTGTGTGTGTGTGTGTGTGTGTATACGCGTGTATGTGGCGTGTGCGCGCAGGTGCATGCGTGTGTGTGTGTGTGTGTGTGTGTATGTATTTGTGCAATTACTGTTGCATTAAGCGTTGATTAAATCGAAATAAAAATTTATATTTTGCGATTTATCTTTGATTGATCTTTTGTAATTTTTTTTTCTATACTTTCTTTGTAGTTACACGACCCGGAGCGAAGAAATTGGGAGTAAAGAAAATGTCAGTTACGGTAGAAAAGAAATTATTACCCGTGGAAACAGATGTCAACAGGCTCCTAACTCATGTCTGTGGTACAAACATCTACAAGAAAGGAGAAGAAGACATCAAGTTAAAGTCAGATTCCGAATATCCTAGTTGGTTGTGGAACATTAGAACTGGTGCTCCACCACCTTTGGAAGAAATGGATCCAAATACAAAACAGTATTGGAGGAGATTGCGATTACTCGGAATAAGAAAATACAAGAAGGAAAGGTCAACTAGAAAGTTTTAATTTTTTTTAATAAAATACAAAGAGCACGTCTACACTTCTTGATAAAACTTAATGTACAGCATTTGCTGAAAATTTTTAATTTTGCTTTGTAGAGTGTTATAAGATTTGATGAAAATGGATAAATAAAATACAAATGAGATGAAATAAAAGATAAAAATGTTTAGCTATCATTATTTTGAGAAATTAACTATTTTCTTGACTAATTAAATAGCAAATATATTGCATCTTGTTATTTATCTTGTTTATCACTATAGTTGATAAGGAAAATAAGATTATTAAAATGATTTATTTAAAGAATAAGCAAACTGATAAATATATTTCTTAAACACAAACTAATGGTAATCAGTGTTATGCTACATTGTTAAAATTAGGTTCATAAATTAGTGTTCTGTACTTTGATCTATAAGCGAGTACGATATCAATCATGTGATTCATCTTATTTGTTTTGATAAAAATCTTGAAGATATAAAATCATATAATAAGAAATCACGCTGAATCTTCCCTTTAAACGAGTGTACACAACTCCGATATTTAGTTATTGCATCTCGTCTGCGTTAATTCATTATAGTCAATAAAATTGCGTTCAAATTTGATTCTGACAATTGGTAAAATTCAAGGTAATGAATCTTTATAGAATTTTTAATACATTTGAAATGTGCATAACGATATTGTGGATTTTCATATGAGGTGATAGAACGATTGAGGATTTTGATAAAAAGAGAACGGCAATTCAAAATGATTTGCACTTATTTATAGTTTACAGTTGAATTCTAAACCTGAGCTATCTATTATTGATGGTTATATATTTTAAATCAAATTACATGTAGTGTAGCGTTCAATTAATTAGCGTTTTCTTAAATGTTGCTTGGTAAATTATTATTACAACTAAAGAGCTAATTATGGCATATTTATTTCATATATCTTATTTCCCTTGCTTCATTATTGTTTTATCACTTATGATTATATTATGCAGTATCGCGATCTATTCATTCGTTGAATAATTTGAAGAATTATCATTAGGCATACGAAATTGAATGCAAATTTATATAATGATATCCGATAATTTTGTATTTGTGCATGTTACGTGGCAGGAGATTTGCATGATGACATGAAGCAACGAGATATTTTGATAGCAAAATATGTTAAAAATGCGATACAAAAGAGCAATAAGATACCCCCCTCCCCTCCTCTCTCTCTCTCTCTCTCTTAATTTGACTAGTATTATTTTAGCCAATTATGAGAAATCAAAAAGCGCTATACAATAAATACATTATCATTAACGCAATACAAGATGTACTATGACAAATAGTTGACCATATGCAAGACAAGCATGTATAGAGATGTCAACTACTAGAATATATGTATCATTGGACATGACATGACTAAGATGAAAAATTTCCAAGATATAAGTACATGTATAAATGTCAATTCAATTCGATAATAATATATTATAATTTTACAGTATTAAATATTAATGCTAATATTCTTTATATTCATTACACTTTGCGTATCAAATTCAAGTATATTGTAGCAAATGGCAATCGCTCTTTGAATATGTGTGAGATATTCACTCAACTTTTACTTGACGAAAGACAGGTGTTTGGATCAGATCTGCGAATTGATTGTAGAATCAAGTGTTAAAGAAACTTATATAATGACGTCGCTCGCACACTTGCGTGTTTTCAAAAGTCTTTTCAAAGACCCTAATAATTGGATTATTAATATACACTTGTGTGCTCACGAATGATTTGTATTTGCATTTATCATGATCAAACAGACAAAAATTGCACTGTTTTTGATAAAGTATATATATCACATATGCGAATCAAATGTAGGTATTGTCTTGTCAAGTACATCAAAGGAATCGACCTTGGTTGACGAGGTAAGGCAACGATCGATGATTTATCTCGGGACACTGGCTGACAATTTTTTCGGAGATTTAATTACAATTTTGATTATAAACTGAGATTATTATATATATATATATATATATATATATATATATATATATATTACGAGAGGATTGGACAATATGAATGCACACGAATGTGCATACATACTTCCGTAACAATAAAAATTTAAAATTTTCCAAATTTCAATATATTAGAAAACATAAAATATTTCTAAAACAGTCAACAAATTTAGCGTTGTCGATGTAAACTTTAACTCGATCGATTTGTAGATGAATCGTTGGATACTCGTTTTCGCGGCTTTAGCTACTTTGACTTCGGCTACCAATTCTGAAAGTAAGTATCGATTGATTAGTAAAAGAACAGGGAAGAAGGGGTTCTCTAGCAGTGAGATCTACAATATCACTAATGTTTTTTCATCTTGCAGAGAAGATCGTATGCTACTTTGGTAGTTGGGCCGTTTACCGACCTCCCGGTGGCAAATTTGACATTTCTTACATTCAACCGCATCTCTGCACTCATTTGATCTATACCTTTATCGGCATTAATACTGAAGGCGACGTCAAAGTTTTGGACGCGTGGCAAGATCTCCCCGACAATTGGGGCAAGGATGGTTTTGGTAGATTCAACAAGCTTCGCGAACAGAGTCCCGAGACTAAAACGCTCATTGCTATAGGCGGGTGGAACGAGGGATCCGCTAAATACTCCTCTGTTGTTTCCAATCCGGATACTCGTACGAAATTCGTCAAAAATGTCGTTGATTTTGTGAAGAGACATAAATTCGATGGTTTGGATGTCGATTGGGAGTATCCCAATCAGCGTGGTGGGAAACCAGAAGATGTGCAAAATTATATAAGTCTGCTCAAGGAACTCAGGAATGAATTCGATAAGCATGGACTCATTCTCAGTGCTGCTGTTGCTGCCGCCGAGACTTCTGCCTCTCTATCCTACGATATTCCTGCAATGTCTAAATATTTGCACTTTATTAACGTTATGGCGTATGATCTCCATGGAGCTTGGGAAAAAGTAACTGGACACAACGCTCCGCTTTACCCACGCAAAGGCGAGTCTGGAAACGATCTTAAACTCAATGTTGTGAGTGTCTCTCTCATATTCTTTTCATATTGCCCATCGTGTTCCCTCTCGAACACGACATTGTCAAATATCGAAAATATTTCATTTCCTTCGAAAAACGCTTTTATTTTCGTAGGATGCAGCTGTACGTTATTGGTTGGATAATGGTTGTCCGCCTGAGAAACTGATCCTTGGAGTGCCATTCTATGGTAGAGCGTTTACCCTCGCCGACAAAAATCAAAATGGTCTCAGAGCTCCTACCACTGGACCTGGTACCGCTGGTCCATACACTCGCGAGGGTGGAATGCTCGGATACAACGAAATTTGCGAGTTCTTTAAACAGGGTGGTTGGACCGTTGTCCGTCAAGAAGAGCATCGCGCTCCATACGCTTATAAGGGCGATCAGTGGGTTGGCTACGATGATGTAACGTAAGTCTCTTTCTCTCTCTTTTTTTGCGCCTCTTCTTTCATATTTTTGTAATTCTTAATGTGATATGTTCTCTTAACGTTATCATTTTATTTCAATCCATTCTTCTTAAATATTAGTTTAGAAAAAGATTTTTCGGTCCATTATATACGAGAATACTCTATTAGTTACTAATAATAATTATATAGTTTTATACATATTATATACTAATTAATAATTCCGCGCAGTTCTCTTACTGAAAAGGTTGCCTACATCAATTCCTTGAATCTCGGTGGCGCCATGTTGTGGAGTATCGAGACTGACGACTTTTTCGGCAATTGCGGTGAAAAATATCCTCTATTGAAAACATTGAATGCTGGATTAAGAGGAGGAGTTCCGGTAGAACCCGAGCCCAAGCCGACCAAGGAACCTCCGCAGACACAAGAACCACAAACGACGCAACCACCAGCAACTCCTGCTCCCAGTGATATTTGCAAAAAGGAAGGTTACGTCCGCGATGAACAGGACTGCGGCATATTCTATCTGTGCCAAAATGTCAATGGCTCTTATAAAGCACAAAGATTTGATTGTCCAAATGGACTAGCCTTTGATCCCGAAATCAATGCCTGCAATTACAAAAATCTCGTTGTCGGATGCAATTAATAACAGACTGCATCTGTATATTTCTACAATGTTTCAATTATACAGCGTCCGTTGTATTAGGCAATGGCAACAAATGTATCTTTACTCTTTGCAGCTTATGTAAATATAATCCAATAAACTTATTTCTCCACATTTCTCTCTTTGTAATAATAAACAATAATATGTGGTACATTTGTTCGTGTATATATTTACAATAAAATCTACAAAAGCGCTATGTCATATACATCAAAATAATCATCATGGTGATATAAAATAATCATCATAGTAAACAAAATTGTATAATTGCATAATATAAAATCATTGATGTCTAACGAATCAATTTACTTTAACATTCCAAATTTTTTTATATTTAATATAGCAGATATATATGGCGACATATATGGCGACTACAATTTTTTAAGTTGAAATAAATATAATTATAAATATAAATATAATTTCTTTATAAAGTTTTATATCAAAAGTATTTATGGTATTTTTCAAGAGAGAATTGGATTTTTAGTAATAGCAGTCTACAATAGTGTAGATATTACAACAATGTTTATGTATATGGAATTTTATACACTAACACACACACATACACACACACACACACACACACAACAAAATTATATATATTTATTTTTTTATTTATTCCAAAAACAAAAATTTTAGCAATACGCTTTTGCAATTCCTCGCACGCACAATTTTTCTCACGTATCAAAAGACGATTAACATTGTACATATCGTGAAAAATTGTACGTTTCCGTGAGCATATTGAATATTAATCCTGGCTGGCAATAATATGTTATTGGTACACCATAATTGTATTCACAACGATAAAACTTACCACAGTTAAATAGATCTCTCAGATAGCCCTTCTTTATACAATTTAGTAAGAGCAGAACTATTGGAATCGTTGGAAAAGCATATAAAGCAGGATCTATTGGAACTAACTGGTATATGGATAACATTTTCTTAGAATTCAAATCATGCACTTCTATGAATTTTTTGTCTATCGCGTGCATGTGTATCACAGGAAATATTAAAAGCCACAAATAAAATATTCGCATCAACATCTGCATCTGCAATAATTTCAAGAATAATTAACTTCCATTCATCAATCACAGTTGGATAGATCAATAGTAATCAATCATAAAATCATTTCACACTAAATAAGAAAATATTTGACATTAGATTAGACAATGATTAAAAAGTATTTACCTCTTGTATTTATCAAGTATAGAAAATATTTACTATTTATTATGTGCAAAAATATATAGAATTGCCCGTCGCGTACGGAAGACAGGCAAGTAGTCAGAGATGTATCTTTTATTAATATGCAGTAGAATGTGTGTACAAATATTCGTGCAAGATCATGATGTTTGACAAACTGAACTTTTCAACTTGGAAAACTTATTTATATGCAAATATGTAATCAATTTGATGAGTCGACGAAAAAATAAACATCTTATTTCTGCTGTACTGTTAGGCAATGTGCGTAATTCATGTGCATTACGTCATTCATAAGTGATATATAGAATTATTTTTATTATTATCTCCGATAGACAACAAATCGGGTTTTCCATTTGTCACTTTAATGATAGTATAACTGACATAATTTTGCGAAATATTATTCTGCGAAGTATTATCGTTATTATACTAACTGTGGCATATTCTGCTCAGATATAATTCTGCGAAGTATTATTTTTTTTATCAAAGTCATTTAACTGATTCAGTTTAAGGCAAAGATATCTATGGTCATATTGTTTTCGAATATTCAGTTCTACTATTTTATTTTAAATGATATTTCTTGTCTCATTTTTATATCAAGATTATCGAATATATTACATATAATACTACTAAGATATAATAATACTACAAATATAAAGCTTTCAATTTAGCAAGCGAAAAATTTTGATGTCTAATTTCTCGAATTTTCCGAAGTAGACACACATATATATAT